GCAGGTGGAGGCGGAGGTGCAGGTGGTGGCGGAGGTGCTGGTGGAGGTGGCGGTGCAGGTGGCGGCGGCGGTGGTCCAGGTGGCTATGGAGGCGGGTGTAGTGGCGGTAGTTGTGGTAAACCTAATAGCGGTAGTTATGGCGGCGGCGGTAGCGGTTGTGGTGGTCCATCTTGCGGTGTTGGTGGTGGTGGCGGCGGAAAGCCCATTGCGCCACCGACCACTATTTATCTTCCACCTGTGCAATCACCTACAGGACCAAGTAGCGGGTGTCAAAGCGGAAACTGTGGTGGACCTGGCTCACCTGGTGGAGCAGGCGGATTGGGTGGTTCTGGAGGATTTGGTGGTTCTGGAGGATTTGGTGGTTCTGGTGGATTTGGCGGTTCAGGTGGATCAGGAGGTTCTGGTGGTCATGGTGGTCCTGGTGGATATGGTGGACCAGGAGGGATCGGTGGTTCGGGTGGACATGGTGGTGGCAGCCCTGGCGGTCCTGGTAGTCAAGGAGGTCATGGTTTTCCTGGCGGACCTGGTGGTAATGGATTTCCCGGTGGTCCTGGCAGTCCTGGCGGCCCAGGTGGTGATGGCTACCCCGGCGAACCTGGTAGTCCTGGCAGTCCAGGTGGCTCTGGTGGTTACGGCAGTTCAGGTGGCTCCGGAGGTAAAGGTGGTTATGGCGGCAAAGTTGTCTATGGTGGTACCGGCGGTGTTGGCAGTGAAAGCCAAGGTGCTCCAGGAGCTCCTGGTGGTTTAGGAGGCCATGGTGGACATGGCGGCTCTGGTGGATTCGGAGGTGCTGGCGGATACGGAGGATCCGGCGGACTCGGTGGTTCTGGTGGGTTCGGCGGTTCCGGCGGACATGGCGGTGGAAATCTTGGGGAACCTGGATATCCTGGCGGCATAGGCAACTCTGGTGGCCATGGCGGTGCCGGTTATCCTGGTGGTGCCGGAAGTCCCGGCGCATCCGGCAGCCCTGGTGGACCCGGTGGATTCGGCGGCCCCGGAGGTTCCGGTGGTATTGGCGGCTTGGGAGGACATGGTGGTGCTGGTTATCCTGGTGGAGCCGGAAGTCCCGGCGGATCCGGCAGTCCTGGTGGGCCCGGTGGTTTTGGAGGACCGGGCGGAACCGGTGGTCTTGGCGGCGCGGGAGGACATGGCGGTGCAGGTGGTTATGGAGGTAGCGGTGGACAAGGTGGCAGTGGCGGGTACGGTGGAAATGGTGGTCCAGGCCCCGAACCTGGCGCACCAGGTGGACCACCTAGTTTTGGCTACCCGGGTGAACTGGGTGGACCACAAGTACCTAGTACTGGTGGAACTGGTTGTACGAGCGGTGCATGCGGTAGCGCGAAACCACAAAGTGGCCGAGGAGGCGATGGCGCAATAATTTTTGGCCATCCTGGTCTGGGCTCATCAGGTGCTCACAGTGGAGCTAGTGCAACGGTGAATGCAGGAGCAGGCAGCCAGGCATTTGCGCTACCTGGCGCGGGAGGAGCTGGCGATGGCAGTGGCGGCGGTTGTTCAAGTGGAAAATGTGGCAGTCTTGGCGGCAGCGGAAAAAGGGGCTATGGCAGCTCATGGAGTAGCGCGGGCTCCTATGCCAGCGCCTCAGCGAGTGCACACTCCAGCAGCTATGTTAAGAGCTATTAAGGAAAGTTGGAAGCCATAGTTTAGTTGTAGTTTAACTGCTCATACTCGTATAAATACCTATATTTAGTTAGCGAAAAAATTCCGACATTTTTAAATATGTATACATATTAAATAAATTAAGATGTCGTCAGATATTTGTAACTATTATACATATCTGTTCGTACGTAAATATAAAATTTATGTAAAAATAGTTTAATCGATTCCAAATTTTTTTAAATATCTTATTCGAATGCTGCGCTCAGCTCTTAAGTACTCATGCGGCTGCGTTCCTTTCCGTTGCACACGTCTTCTTGTTTGCCACAAATTCATATTTAATCGTGTTAAAATTAGCATTAAACATTGAACGGGTTGGCAAATCCAGTTTCAAATTAGACCTGTCAAAACAGCCCCTCCATTAGCATTTGCAACACACGCACACACATAAAGGGATTTGGGTCCAAGTGTAAGTAGTTGTAAGAAGCGGGTCACACATCTTCGTCAGACGGACGAGCGCTTATACATGCGCATTTCCATGTGGCTGCCGCACTATGAGTGGCTATGACAAATGCATTATAAATTGCCTAAGCGACCACATAAGCCATTTGCATGTTCAGTTACATACAAAGGCACAGCAAATAGTATATACGAACATTAGATATATACTGTACATTTATAGTAGTGTCACTTATAAACTGCAACATTCAACATAAGTAGACTAACGCACACCAATCCCTTCACGCAAATCTCTAAACACCCAGCCACCAGTTGGCAGCGCAGCAGTGTGGAAGCCCTGAGCTCCCCTCCTGAAAATCAGCAACAGTTTAAGTGAGAAGAGAGTGCTCAAGCAGCGCTGGCAAGACAAGGCGTCCCTGGGTGTCTCTTTAATAATAAATCAATCACTTTCATTGATATTCACCACAACAAACTGCACAGCGTTGATGTCCCTTGCAGAATACGTAAAGCGTTTCGGCAAACTAAATACAATTAATAGCTGTGAAATGCCTATTTTAGACGTATAGTATACAGTTGGCGCAGCCTCTCAAAAACTCATTTACAGCAATTTCAATTTAGCCACACAATTTCTGCCCCAAAGTGCTTTTAACCAAAACAGAATTGAATGTAAATTTATTTTTAATATGAAATTCATAGTCTAATGTTTATTTAAAGCGCTTAATATCCTGATAATTGTTTGCGAGGGAAGACAGCAAATGCAAACTTCTAAGCAAGCATTAAAATTTCAATAGTTGTTTGCACAGTAAGTCGTTTCTTAATACCCGTACAATATATAAATATATAAAAGTACGAGCTGTCTTACGCACTTGCAGATTTGCCTCAAGAATTTGAGTTTGATTTGCTTGTGGTTATTAGACTTGAAGCTGCTGGTTGAAAACTCTGGCACTCCTGGAATTGTAATTTAATTCATGGCAACAGCTGTGCCTGCTAATCAGCGAAATTACTTACAGATAAACGACCGAAATTGTTCAATGTTGGCAGAGTTGTATAGTAAATAGAAAGCTAATGACTGCGCCGAATAAAATTGTTGGTCATAATTTTTTCATATTGCGCTACTGAAATATTAAAATATAATTTGTTGTATAGTAGTAGCTTTGCATTAAATATCAAAAAATAATTAGTGTCTTTTTGGTAAATAAAAAAGTTGTTTAATGCGAAAATGGCAAGGAAATTGGAAACGCGAGAAAATAATTTTAAAATTTTTCATAAGGTAACTGACTGATTTTAAAAAGAAAATTGCATAAGAGCTGGATGATGATTTTGGCAAAAATTATTTTATCCGTGCAACTATTAGGAAATGAAGGGAAAATGTTTTTTTCTTTTAATATTTTGATATTTTATTATTACAAAAAATTACTATACTTTAGGAAACAATAAAATAAAGTAAATATAATTTGTACTATCTTAATATATGATTATTAGGTATTACGAAAAAATAAAATTAACTATAATTTAGAAAAAATTAAAAATATTAAAAGAATATGCATATATTTATTAAATTTGGTACGTTTTCAGGTTAAGATCCTTGCTTATTTAAAAAGCTAAAAACATAAAAATCGCAGACATGCGCAAATTTTTGTTAATTTTCTCAAACGAACACTTAGTGCCGTTCTCTTATGTTGGTTTTAAAATTTATCTGCCCTAAAAAAAACATTTCTTTAGAACAAAATTTATGTTTAAAGTAAAGATAAAATTTTAAAACCTTCATCAGAAAACGGCCCTTAACACTACACTGACAACTAACTGCCGGTTTCTCGAAAGCACTTTAAGTGAAAAAATGCATTCTTTCTGTCCATTTCCATATTAAATTCAAAAATTAGATGACAAAAAATTAATGAATTCTGTTTCAAAAATTTCGCTATATTTAACCTTTTATGGACTGCAGGTAATATTTCCACACATGGACTTTTCTTAAAAAATTGGTAGGCTTTTTCCATTTGGAAGATTCTTTGGCTAGATTGGATTTTGGTAGGTTCCGCGACAATAATAGTTATTTGCGAGAAAAAATAAATTATGTATGTCTATCTATCTATTCTAGCACTCAAGTTTTCACGAATATTTCACCGGTGCTTTCATATAACGGTGACCGCAAACATGTAAATACTTGTGAACACGCAAGGCCTTAAAACGTCAAAATTTAACTTACATAAGTTTTTACGCAGTTGGTTACTTAAAAATATTGCAAATGGTAGTCAGAGTTATAAGCGATCAATATGCCTAATTTCTTCTAAATCCGTCCAGCCGTTTCTGAATAAAAAAAGGTCCTCGCATGGTATCGGTTTTTCATTTTGTCAGATTTTAAATCACCCTGTACCGCCCAAAAAGCTCTAAGTTCAAACAACAAAACCTCATCTACTGGTCAAGCTCTTTAATTTGACATCTGATTTTTGAAATTCGAAAGAACGGTGCGACAGCGCATTATATCTTTATTTATGGTAAGATATAATCAAAAATATTTTCAAAATTTAAAACACTTTATTTTAACACCAATTTTTTATCTATTTCAAATAACTTGGGTAAAAGTTAACTAAATTTGGCTTTTAAACGGGTGGCAACCCTTCTTGAAAGGACTTTTTAAATCAAAATCTTCTCGAAAATCTTGATGAACTAAGTCGATTTTGAATTTTAGAAACGTGGAGAACCTCCTGAATAAAGCTTAAACATAAGCGTCTCCAAACCAATTTTGAGTGATCTTCTAATAAGTAATTTAACATATAGGTAAGTAGATAATCTGGATATTTTTAAACAGGTGGCATTCCTCTTCAAACACCTCAAAGATATTCTAAGTGTTCAAGCTAAAGGTTGCTTCACGCCTTTTCGTTAAGAACCCACATAATAATATTTCCTACACCTTATGTATAGTTGAATTAAATTCCGCTTCCAATTACGTGGCAACCCTCTTGAAAATATTGTTAAGCTTAAATTACTTAAATCTCTATCGTCTAGCACCCACACATGCTTTAATTACCCAATTGCTTTACTTCACTTTAAATTTGTTGTTTTGAACAGGTGGCAACCCTCCTCCATATAGTTTAAAAGGAAGCCTTTTGAACCCATTTTTTAATATTTCATTTAAGTTGGCAACCCTTTTTAAACACCACAAAAATAGTCTAAAGCTCTCAACTCAGTTTTGCATGACACCCACAGTCTAATAATTCACATACCTAACTTCTGCATAATTTAATTTAACTCGATTTTCAATCAGGCGACAAACCCTTTCAAATTATTTCTTAAGTAAAACGTCGTTGAGCTTCTCTCGTCCGACACCCATGCCGTGCTGAATATTTCA